AATAGTATATACACCACTTCCCTCCCCTAGCCCTGTACACCACAAGTCATATATCTTAATAAAAACAGTAATATTGTCACATGTCTGGGAATCCTGTTTATCACCTCAGAGGGAAATGTGCGTATTGAAGACTCTGAAGTAGACGTTCCATCTAGGACTTTAAAAAGTTACTTAAGTACTTTTATGGTCCTGCATTTTATTGAGTTGAGTCCAAATTGAATTCTTCTATGCCCTTTTTCTGTGCCAGTATCGTGCTCTCCTTTGGCTTTATTTGAGGGACATGTGGGAAATTATATTTAAAATGCGTGCTTCAGGATTTCCTTTTCCACGCATGACCCCCTGGAGGTAATCAGTAACTGCGAAACAGGGTCAAAATATTTTTTGACCTTCCTAGAATAGCATTGTTAAGGTGTAGAACCTTGAGAAAAAATGTCCGTATAATTTTTTAAAGTTTTACTCTTCCTTTGTTTCTGCCAAGTTTTCCCTCTGGGTATTTTTAAATATTTTGGTACCCTTAGTTTTTATATAGACTTCAGAATTAATAATATGTTGAATTGTTAATAAACACTTTTGCCTGCAAGGAAGTAGGGTAGAAGCAGGAAACTACTGATGTGCTAACCAAGGATAACACACTAAACCATCTGTGTAACTCTTGGCAGGAATAAAATGACAGAGCAAGTTCTTGAGGCGTGCTCGTTACCAGGTGTGTGATCAGAAAGATAAATACATTCTCATGTAATAAAACTGGCCTAGTGCCTTTAGCACCCATGGGCTATGTGTGTGTGTGCATGTGTGCAAGGTTAGCGTTTTAGCATAGTTAGGAAATTGAGAGAGGAAAAGGCTGAAAGTAGAGGACTTTTGCTTACAGTCATTTGTTATTGCAAACTCTGTATGCAAACTCTAGGAAACTGCACTAGAATTTCAAGTGTAATATGTTGATAGACATCAAATGGCAGTTTGTAGCCAAGGTGCAAGGGCAGGCTCTTCAGGAAAAAATGAGTGGGAAGCCTTAAAAGAAACATCTGTTTTTCTTATTCAGCTACCAGTAGACTTTGAAGAAGATTGACGCAGTGTTAAGACTTTCTTTTTTTTTTTATTTCCTTGAGAATTAAAGGAAAATGTAAGCTGAGAATTTTTTTCATGCTATTTTTAAAATACCGTTATTTGTAACTTTTCATGAAAAGCAGACAGAAATGTAAAGCTTTTCATTCTACCTCAAATTAGAATAACTTAGGTTAAGTAAATCCAGTTTTGAAAACTTAAGAGAGAACCTGAAGAGATTTGTTTTATGAAGGAATTTCATGGTTTTGAGTAAAATTTTTGCTCAAACTACAGTGATTCTTTTGAGAGTAATTCCATTTCCTCTATTCGTAAATTTAGAAGGAATATCTGTTTTTCACCAAGCTTGCATGTTCTGAATGCTGCTAAGTTGCTCTTCAAATGAAAGTTTAAAAAGGAAAAGAAGTGAATTGATATTGTATAGTTTTTCATTTGGTGAAATAAGGAAACAAGTTAAAAGTTTAAAAGGGAAAAGAAGTGAATTGATTTTGTATATCTTTTCATTTACTGAAAATAAGAAAACAAGATAGTAGATCTATAGACATATTCTTTTCAGATAAGTTTGCTAAAAGGCAATTTTCTGTCATTTCCTTTTGAGAAAACTGAAATCTCTCTTCCAATTTATTTGTGTGTGTATTGGTTGAGGGTGATAAATATTTCTTCATTTTTCTGGCCTCTCTTCCTGTAGATCAGGGTAGCTTTCATCAGGAATTTAAGCCCATTTAAGAAATAGGTCCTGGGTGATAGTCCCTAGACAAATTCTTTTTGGGCCTCCCTTCCTGGAACC